CAGGGTTGCGTGCCGGTTGATGTGTTGTGCGGGATGAGTGACGATGAGAGCCAGGGCCTGGACGGTCTTGCCCAGTCCCATGTCGTCGGCCAGGATCCCCCCGCGGTGATGGCTTTTCTCCATTGCCGTCATCCAGCGCACGCCCTGTTTCTGATGCTCCATGAGCGGAACCGTCAAGGCTCCGGAGACCCCCTCGCATGGATCGAGTGCCGCCATGGTTCCGTTCGCAGCCGGTGTGTCGGCATCGGCGGGACTGACGACATCCCAGGGTTCTGGACCGGCGAGCCTTTATTTTGATCCTCGATGTTAGTTTCGTGTGTAGCTTCGGTATAACAGGGGCTTTGGGACTACTTGCTCTGGAGGAAGGCCGACAGTGGTCGGCCCCAGTAGGGGATGTTCCGGTACCGAGGGCTCCGGGATGCGATCCTGCGTCACAGCAGCGGACCAAGGGTTGGGTTCGATCGACGACGGAGGGTCCCAGACCGCGTTGGCAATCGGCGCCTGATGGGATACTGCCAGGGCCAAAGGGCCAGGCGGCTCATGGACTATTTCTCCGGGGCGATCGTATTCGCCTTGCACGATCCGATGCCTGGACAGACCTGCAACGCCAACCGGAACGGTTGCATTATAAGTGCTCCCGGATGACTCGAAAACCTGGTCTGGCGTTATCACCCACACAGGACCATCGGCGGATCCGGCTGGCACTGCTTCGAGCGCATGACTGGACGCGGGTGGGGGATGCGGCCACAATGTGAATTCTGCCGGACTGCCCGCAGCCGTTGGGTGCTGTAGCGTGAGTTGGCTTGAGTATATCCTGTTGGACACGCCCGGATGAGACATATTCCTTGATGTGCCAGAGGACACCATCGCATACCATGGTGCGGCCGACGGGCTGGTAAGGCTTGGGGTCTGGATTTCATGCATGGCGGATGACGGTGTCTGTGCTGGACGGCATGCCGCTGATTGGGGGACTGCTCCGGCAACTGTCGGCGCATAATCTGTAGCAGACCCGCTAGGATGATCCCCCGTTCTTCGCTTTGGGGGAGCCATGATTCCTGCGCACACATCGGTTTCGTAGATGTGGCGCTTCAGCGGCAGTGATAAGGCCGGTAAATGCTGCCCGAGGGTCAGTGACCGCTGGTCGTGAAAAGTATCAGAACGGGTGATATTCGAGCGGATGGAAGACCATGTGGGAGAGCCTGAATCTGGCCATGAGACAGGATCAGCGCGGCCTTCCGTCGCTGCCGCAGCCGCCGTTTGCGTGGCGTCCATCGTCTCTGTCGACAGACCGTGAGGCAATTAGCCGTAGGGGGACCATCTCATTCACCGTCTACGGTCTCTTTATAGCTTTGTGCATTGCCCTTCTGCTGCCCACCGGACCAGGGAAAACCCGCGGGGCTCTCGAGACCCACTTCAACCGTTATTGAGGAACGACGCACGCACATACGGAGAGAAAACCAACGTCAAAACGCATCCCGATGCGCGCTCTGACACTGGTCAAGCGCGTGTGCATATCAGCATGGGAGAAGGACTGAGGACTATGGAGACCACAGGGAGGGGAGAAAAGCGGCCTGCGCAGAAACCCTTGCGGTGGAAGGCTAAGGTTGGTGATGGACATGGGACTGTTCTTCGCCTGGGGCCCGGATGAAATTTGAGGTCCTCACAAGAGGGCTGCCGAACATAACCTCGCGCGACCCTCTCCGTTGGTTTTCCGAGGCAGCGCCCACGGTCGGGGCGACGGGAGGGTAGCGTGTTCCTGTTCAACAGCCCTATCCTGGATTTCCCGCCACCGCCTGTGTGGATGGTGGACTCTCTTGCGTTGAATACTCGCTTGCTCCTCGACCGCCACCTTTGATACACTTGCGGTGCTCTCTGAATGGTCTCTGCTGACGCCCATCCCGCTTCCTGGGATGTTCGAAGCCGTGTCGGAGGCATTGCCCCTGGCCAATTTGTTCCTGCACGGCCAACGGTCTATATGTACACCTCCAGGCTACCCGCTGCCCACGAGGGGTCTGGGATGCCGACGTGCCGTCGGATCCTCGATCATGCCCCTTCTTGCTCTCCCGGCTGAGATCCTTGATCTCATCCTCCAGAATGTAAGCCACTGCAACGCTTCCCTCCAGCGGCCACTGTGTGCGTTTTGAGCCTCGCTGGCTAACGGGGCGCCTTAGCTGGATGCCGTTCACCTTTGGAATGTCTACAACAGCTGTGAGGCACTGCGCGTTGCCTCGGCGCGCTCCCTCTTCCGCGGCGTGGAGATCCGCTTCGATGGGGCGCAGGCGACGGACTTGAACACTCGGCGCTTCCCACCGTCGTCCAGCCGCCTGTTAGCGATGGTGGCACAGTGGTCTTCGCACGTTCGGACAATGGATGTCTGGGGCGACGAGGACTTTCTCGAGCCCGGGTTCTTTGACGTCCTGGCCACGCTGGACCGTCTCCGTGCGTGCAGGCATGTTCTCCCCGGCGGACACCTCCCTTTATTGCCGACTGCCGGTCTCTGATACTGATTGATCGTGACACAGCATCAGCTATCCGCCCAGCCTGGGCAGCTTCCAGACGCTTCTGCTGCGGCTGGCCGGCCTTCCGTCGCTGCGCAGCCTGAGCGTGGACTTCATGTCTCCCCGAATCTGGACGGTTCCGATGACTTTTCATCACCTGCGTCAGCTGCATATCTCCTGCATCGAACACGAACCCGGGCTGTGCGTGCTTCCGGCGCTTCCCGTTCTGGAAACGCTGGCGTTGAACTTTTGTTGCTACTGCTTGGAATGCCCTCGGCACGGGCAGGGCCCCTGTGCCCTGCTGCAGTTCCAGCGACTGCCGCAGCTCCGCTCTCTGTCGATCGCGGGCGCGCAGCGGAAGAGCCTCAGCTGGTGCGGACGAGCCGTCCGGCTCCGGAAACTCGAGATTGAGTTTTCCAGCGGCCTGGACCTACATCAGATCCTGGCCTCCCTGGGGTGGGATCTGGAGGAGCTCCACCTGTTGGACTGCGAGTTCGTGGCGGAGGTGCCGCGGCCCGTCGTCGCGTTTCCTGCTCTGCGGCGGGTGCAGTTGCTGGAATCCATCTCGGGCCTGGCTGCGTTCGGCTCCGCCGAGGTCCCATCGTCCGCCGAATTCACTCTACGGATTAGCCATGATGACCTAGACGGCCTGGCGGACTGGCCACTCGTCCGGAGGCTTCTAGAGCGGTGCTCGGTGCTGCTCAGCCTCCCTCGCTCGGGGATTCATCGATGGCCGCCGGCCTCCACTTCGCGCCTGTCCCAGGCCATGTCCCTGCCCCAGGTCCGCGTTGAAGGCCCGCCGTGGTCGGCTGACATCGCCAAGGGAAGACAGGACATTCCGTCCGGCAGGCGAGAAATACAACACCATAGATAAACATCGGCTCGGATTACAGTACACACAGCAGTAAGCTGCTCTAAACGTATTTTAATCTACTGTAGACTTGTAAAAGGGTCTGACCACCCCAGCCAGTTCCGCAGGATGATCTTGCGTACATTGACTCTGTAGGGCTGGATTTCTTGGTATCCGACGCTCAAGGCCTTGTCGTGGCCGGTTAGGGAACAAGAACGGCCAAGGATAGTGCCACAGATCGGTAGCGTAGTAGTGGCGCCCAATAGGGCCCCCCCCCCCCAGCCCTCTCCAACGTCTGTTACGAAAGACAGACACCTCCGAGCCTGTCGGTATCCCTTTGTGACCACCTCTTACGGGCGAGCGACGTCGCCGGCCCGAGACGGAGTTGGTGCTTCCGTATGCGTGACCGACAGTCTCGATTGGACGTGCCGGTTGTATGTTGTAATGTCCGACTCCGAGTGCTGTCTGGGATGTAGATGGAGAGGATAAAGCGCGAGGTGACTCTGTCGGACACAGGGTTGAACATACGAAGACTGCGCGTTTGACATGAACAGTGTGCTGGGCGCCAAGACCGTAAGTTGGTCAGTGGGGCGGGCTAGTTTGGGTCCTTAATAGTAGTCAGGAAGTGTTCAGCAGTCCGTGAACACTTGTTCAACGTTCAATGTTCAAGCTGAACTGTTGAACTGTCGAGCTGCTGATCTGCTAAGTTGTTCAGTTGTTCAGTTAGTAAGTTGTTATTAGGCTGTTAGGCTGTCAAGTTGTTGAGCCATTGAGCCGTTGAACATACTCGACCTTTTCGCTTCTGGCAGAATATCAAGATGCAGGTATCGTTCACGTTAAGGGGTCTGTGGCATTACTCTGAGGGCATCTTCCGCAAGGAGCCAAACGAAATCTCTCACGGGATCGCCAGGAAGCTAATTTCCGAGCAAGAATGGGCGAGGCTGTACATGTAGCTACCATGTTTGCGAGGACTAAAACCGGGAGATCCGCAAGACTGGCAGTCACTGCAACGCCGTGACAGGCCAGTTCTGTCGCGGGCACTACCAGCAAGAACTTTGTGGCTGCAATAAGCGCCGGAAGCCAGATGGTCTTGGGGCTATGCAAAGTTACATACTGCTTGGACTTGTGATTTGAGGAATAATTTGTAAAATTTTATAGCTAGCTAGACTGCAAAGAATTATGCAAATTACGTGGGAACGAGCAGGTTTTGGCTTCCCCCCAAAGGGGTACTAGACTTCAGCACCGCGATGAGGTACCTGCACTTCGCTGAAGAGGGATCAAGCCAGCGACACGCCTATTGGGATCAGGCCAGCGATACACCTAATGGGATCGAGTCAACAACACACCCCATGGGGTCAAGCCAGCGACACACCTAATGGGATCAAGCCAGCGACACGCCTAGTGGGATCAAGCCAGCGATACACCTGGGGGATCAAGCCAGCGACACGCCTAATGGGATCGAGTCAACAACACAACCCATGGGATCAAACCAGCGACACGCCTATTGGGATCAAGCCAGCGACACGCCTAGTGGGATCAACTAGTGATACGCCTAATGGAATCGAGCCGACGACACAACCCATGGGATCAAACCAGCGATACACCTAATGGGATCAAGCCAGCGACACGCCTAGTGGGATCAAGCCAGCGATACACCTGGGGGATCAAGCCAGCGACACGCCTAATGAGATCAACTAGTGATACGCCTAATGAGATCGAGTCAACAACACAACCCATGGGATCAAACTAGCGACACGCCTCATGGGACCGAGCCAGCGACACGCCTAGTGGGATCAAGTCAACAACACAACCCATGGGATCAAACCAGCGATACACCTAATGGGATCAACTAGTGATACGCCTAATGGAATCGAGCCGACACAACCCATGGGATCAAACCAGCGACACACCTGGGGGATCTGGCCCTTTAATATCCTCGCGCAGTGGATAAGATCACGTGAGATTACCTCGGTTAGAATCCATGTGGGGCGCTAGTATTCCCACAGTGGCTGGCAATGGTCGACCAGCATCAGAGTCCAACACGCCCTTGAGCAGGAGGTCGAACATAAGGACCCTCACAAACTAATAGGGATGGCAGCCCACCTGAACTCAAGTGGATGCGGGCCTGCCTAGTATCTCCGTTTTAACTTACCATGACTAGGACTACCAGGTTAGGCATCACTCTAGTGGCCATGTTTCTCATTGGAACACATGAAGAAAAGCTAGAGATCAGTGTTATACTGTACAAATCCCTCACATTGTTGGACGCTTCGTCGAACTTAGCTTTATGCAAAGAGTGAATAAAGATCCTACAACATCATAAACTAAAATTTTACTATGCGTATTGTACCTTATATGGAGTCGGAATTTGATGTTTGACTGAAAGAAGAAACATTGTGAGACCAGTAGCTTCTGCTGCCAGGGACGACCAACAGTGATCAAGGGCCAGAGATCAATCCGAAAGATGTTCTTCTCATCATCAGCACCACGGCCACTAGTATAATAGAACTCGTTATCATAAAAGCTTTGCAAGCGTCTCTATTATTGCAGGGTGGTGAGGAAAGGAATTACAGACCCCGCAAGGCGAGAGCTTAATATCGCCACCGTGTAATAGAAATAGATGTAGAATGATCACGCAAGAGTTAGCTATAGTTGACTCACAAACGAGAGGTCAACACACAAACAAATACACGCTCAATCACTCATTCTACTGGTACATATCATGGGCATCTGTAGAGGCCTTAGCGACATCAGCTTGCCAACAAGTATGTGAGTATGCACTAATTTCACAGGGGGAGACTTTAGCTAAACTATTCTGCTGAGTAATTTATAAAAGAGACGTGAAATTCTCGTAGAGCATTTTCTATCAAGACGAGAGGAATTATACGGTGGAAGATACATTTTTATTATTACCGTACTTAGAGTATGTGCTCTATAAAATCCATAGTAACCACCTGACCACATCTGGAAGGGCCTTCTGAATCAGAAAGGCCCGCTTAATATAAGCCTTCGCACCCAGATCTTATTATGGAGCCCAGAGGAAATTATCACATGTGAAATTCAAGGTGATCTCGCTGACTGATTGTGGAAACTTTCTGATTGCCGTATTATGAATAAGGGTAGGTCTACAGTAGTACCCTCCTGTCATGGAGGCCCTTCAGTCATATAGTCTCTTTAGCATCACACATCCTATGGACTCAGAACTTATTCTGCTAATGTATGGAAGACTATTTTTTGAGGATCCAATATGTCCATCCCCCAATTATTTTTTTTGGCTGCTTGTTACGTAATAGAGAAGTCAGGTATAGTTAGATAAATATATAGGTATAGGAATATATTCTATTATGATTCAATTACCAGTCACCAGCCAACTACGGCATATGTGAAGTCCGAGGAAGCATATTCCTTAGATATCTGCACAGCAACCGACAATTCGAAGGTGTCTTTTCGTTTCTAACCTCCTCTTCTCTTCCAGTCCACGGCTAGTATATTATACATTGCTGTAGCAATAATGAGAAGGCTGTTGAGACTGGCCCTTTCTGTGGTCTCATTGGCAGGTATATCCGTTGCTGATAACTTCACCACGACTTGTAATGGGTATTACCTTGAAGACGATCATATTCTGCATGCAACTTGTACAGCGAAGAATAATGTGGCAAACCAGAGACAGCTTGATTTGAATGGTTGCCTCGCAAATTTGGATGGCCAGTTAGGACTTGTTGCAAAGTATGTACGGGCCTTACTGTATTAGGTTGAATGAGCTCACACCGATTCAGGGGAAACGCATTTGCCACATGTGTCCACGGCTGTGGCCTTTGCTTTTTAGAAGGAGAAAAACTGACATGCTCATGCCGAAGGAGCGACATGCGCAGTGTGACATTCAACACACTCGACTTAGGTCAGTTCAGTTCAACCTCCCGGTAAACATATTACTTGCTGATAGTGCGTAGATGTCATCGTTATGAATCAGGATGGGAAGCTGTTATGTAATCTATAGGTCATCTCTATGTCAGAGGTACTAGGGATACTATAATACAGCGTGGAGGGCAATCAACACGATGAGATATATTTCAGAAGAATATTGCGTGGAATTTGGGAGCATATGTATTGTATCGCGGTATATCTATTATACTCAACTTTATCTTGTTTTCCCAGCTATCCTAAAACACACCGTTGTAACATAAAGTATACTGTTTCATGTTTTCCATCTCCCAAGAGAAGCAGCCCGCAGAATTGTTGTATCTCCCTCATAGGGTGTCAGGCAACTGTCGCTCAAAACACAATCGACTAGCGGTACTATAGAAGGCTCTCGTGATTTCTTGTTTATTTAAAACGACCCTTGCCAATCCAAGAACCTGTTAATGTTACTATATTATACCTGGACATAACAGAAGTTCCGCTTTTGGTCCCAAACTATGGATGCTGGAACCTCGAGAAATTATGAAGTTTGTTCTAGTCTAGTCTCTGTCGTAACGCGACAGGTTGATCGTAATACAGGAGAGACAATAATGGAGCTTCAATTTTAGTCTGCAATAGAAGCCTTTGATCCTTAAAAAAAACTAAGACAACACTAGGCCATGAAGGGTAGGAATGACTGCTTAAGTCCTAAGGTAGCTGGCGTTTATTAATACCCGTGCCATACGGTAAATGAATGGCACTGATACCGGTATTTTATTGAACCATTCAGGTACATGTATACGCAAGGGAAACTCAGATGGATGGATGGATGGATGGATGGATGGATGATTTCATTTAACGTAACTCGCTGCAGAATTTAACACGATAAGCAGGCTACCACAACTATATACATCTTAGTACACTACTGCTCGCGAGACGATCTCTAGTTTACCTCTCGCCTTATTATGAGCCTTTCAGAAAACTCGACACGCTATTGAACGCGTGGCCAACTTCTCTACTTGACTCTCTCCAGGTTTCCCTTCAAGTTCGGGTAGTCCACCAACACATGCGCGACTGTTTCCTGTGCACCAAATGCACAGTAGTCATTCTTGCAGTAGCTGAAAAGCACTTGTATCCCGTGTGTAGGGCTACCCTATGCAATCAGTTGGCAAGAGGGGGATTGCAAGGCAGTGCTTTTCGGATAAAGCTACAACGATCACCCTCGGAAGGCTCGGAAGTAGGGGACCACAACAAGGGCATCTTAGGCTCTCTTTTCATTAAATTAGGAACATCTTTCAACGGTTTCGAGCTTATTTCATCTTCCCAGGCACGTAGCTCATCGTCTCTAAACACAGACTTTCGTATAAATCTGCTTACTACAGTATCGAAACAGCGACATAACTCTAGAGCATCCGGGTAGCAATTGACGATAAACTTGGAAAGCGCGCGCACTTCCTTGGACGAGAAATCTTTCCTATTACTATATTTCAAGAGTCAGTATACGCACTTTTTATATCATACAATTTACTCACATTTCAGCATCCATCCTTCTACTACACGTGACTAGGACTCCTTCACTGAGATAGTGTACCAACTCACACCACTTTTTACCCGTCTCTACCTCCGTATCGAATTTTTCGCGCGCGACTTTCTTGGATATATCATCTGCTTTGTCCCATATAGTAGAAAAATACCGAAAGAAAGTATCAGATGTTCTGGCGTGGAGGATTTCGTCCGAGTCTAGTTTAACGAGATTTGACGACTCGTCAAGTTTCTTCTTCTCTTCTTCAAACCAATAATACATCCGTATCTGGGCCACTCGACGCATGATAGCTTTTGTTTCCGGGTCTTGTTCTATCTCCAAGTGCATCATATCTATCGAACATTGTTTCCAAAGCTCGTCACATGCGCCGGGAGCAGTGTGTGGCCAAAGCCCCTTCTCAAGCCATGTGTGCAAGATATCTTTCGTGAATATCTCCAGATCCGGTCTTAGGATTGAATAACTTGCATATATTGAGCGAGCAATCTTATCTGGGTTTATTTCACCGGTTTCTTCCACTTCTTTCTCACACATGATCTCGAGGCCTTTGTGATATCGCTTCGACAACTTATCTTTGGCCTTCTCTAGAGGTGATGGGGGGTATGGAGCGGATGAAGTGCCCCTCGATTGTTCGACAGGTTTGGGTGTGCTATGCTCTGGACTATCTTGGACTGGATTGTGACTGGTTTCGGCAGAAGGTGTTTGTCCTGGAACGTCTATCGTGAGCTCTGGATGAGGTGACAGATTCACGAATTCCAACATAGGATCAGCCTCTGGGTCTAGTGGATAATGTCCGAAGGGGACATTGTCTTGGATGGGGAGATCTTGGTTGTAGTCAATATCGTGATTCCACTCAGTACGAAATTCTGGTGTCAAGGATGGCATTGACGCTCTGTTGGTGGGCATGCTTAGATTTAGTGGATAATGTCCAAACCAGACGCTTTCTTGTAGGGGAAGATGTTGGTTGTAGCCAATACCGAGGTCTTGCTCAGTACGAAATTCTCGTGTCAAGGCGGGCATTGATATTGTGTTGGTGAGCATGTAATTATCGCCTGAAGAGGGTTGAGGATAAGAATTGGAGCATAGGTTTTGCAAAACTCCCGTTGACTCTATGTTTGGTACTTTAAGCCCAGTCAGCCTCGATTTAGGAGATGTTTTTGATAGTCAACTGGGCACTATGGCGCGTTCCGTGAACACATTTTAGATACGTATGACTTAACACGGGAATTTATTGAAGATAGACGTACCTGAGAAAAGCTCTTTATATCTATTACATAGTACTTTTACTAAGTCCTGTTGCTGGGACTCATTAAGTTCAGTAACTTGCATAACGATATATGCCAGTCTTTGGGCAAACTGGAAAGTAGAAAGTAAGCCCAAGCCTATACAACATCCGTTACTGCGCACAGAAACGGGCTGACAAAGGTTTTCACCTCTTCAATTTTGTCTGATGAGGAAGAGCAAGAACTAGATCTTGGGCTCTGCGTGTGTCATTAGTACATTATGTCAAGTCAGCTGAATAAAATATACAGACCGGGAACCTGAGAACAAGACTAGCCACCATAGTTACAACGGCTGAGAGGACCTACAGAGGATAATCATGTAACTTTATAGAGCACGTAATGGGAACTGCTTTCTATTTATAGACACTGGAGAGATTATGGGATCTGTGTTGCGAATGAAAATAATCTTCTATATATAATATTTCATAGTTCTAATAAATATTGAATTTGTAATTAAAATCATCCAAAGAGATTCTTTTATTAGGGATGAAGCATTGAGGGGGAGGTCTTTACGGGCTTTTGGGGTACGTAATACCAAATACTGCTGGGGTTTTTAAAAATCGGTCCTCGGTATTTGATGTGGAATTTCCTGGATTGAATCTTCGATTATACCATTTACAACTATAGAAAACTTTCTTTTCTTCATATCTAGTACAGGCAGGCCTCTTCTCTTCATAGTCAGACAGCGATTCCAGAGGATACGTAGCTATTTGCCGCAGTACAATTTAAACACACTCTCTACAAAACAGCACTCTGCAATCGCTCCCTAGAAATGGTAGGCCTACGAAGCTCAGTCACCTTACCAAGCGCTATATGTATATTAGCACGTCAGAGGCCCAGACAAGCTACATGGCTCTATGTGCAGGAAGTGGTTCTGGGATCTCTAACTTATAGAATCTTGAGGGCGGCTACATAGTATAGTTATAAACTTATATACCTAGTATTATATCTTTCATTATAATATAACAATCCGCGTTTTTAATATTGGTAGCCGGTCTATTAAGCAAGTGGTATTTTATAGTGCTCCTTAACTAAGTATATAATTAATGAATAATCTATGCTGAGCCTTAGCAGTAGGATTGGCCAAGTGACAAATGTTTCTCGGCGTATATTAGTTAAGGCCATGTCAAAAATATGACTAGTTTCATATTTATCACCATGCTATATTGAGAATGGTTAGTTTAATACTACATTTACCCTAAGCCCTAATCATCATATATATGGGGTCAAACTAATTTCAAAAATGATGGCAGAACAAGTTTTCCTCATAGCTACAACCTTAAGGTTCATTAAATGGAGATTACTCACCGGTACCAATCTAAAGTTCAGTATAACCGGTATATATACCAACCATCCGATCCACCAACCTTTAGATATTACCTTGATTTTGGGCCGTATTTGGAGATATGAAGCGAAGAAGATCTTCTGATCTAAACCGGGCCACAAAAAGGCCAAAAACAACGCGTCATAAATCATTATTTCGAGACGTCCCACGAGAGTTGATTGGCCATATTGTTTCATTTATACATCCAGTCTTTGAAAAAGAGCGAATCCTGTCAATTCTCCATGAACCGTTACACACAGCAGATAAAAGCCAATTTTCACTTTGGTCTACAATCTTTAAAAGTGACAAATGGCTCAAAAAGATGGAAGAATCCAAGATCACTCCTGTTCTGATAGGCTCACAACTTGAGTTAGTTGGAAAACATGACAGGAATAATGAATCGGAACCGATATATATAGGGTTATTATGTCCCACTGAGACTAAAAATAAGCAGTGCTTAGGTCTATTTATGAGATGCTTACAGGAGCATACAAAAATGGGATGGGGAGAAATTCACTTTCCTAGGAATATAATATTGCTTTTCAATGAGCGTTGTGATGAGTATCTTCACGTCGAGGCGGGACATCTCTCTAAGCTTGTGAAGCATAATTCAGCATACTACTCCTTCCCCACAACAGGCCCTAACGCATGCGGTCGTATTGAAGAGATTTATACTGAACACGAAGATGAAATTTTCCTCACTTTGCCTTCCATACATGACAGTTGGATGCCCCACTGTATCACTTTGTTAGCTATTTTCGGCACGGGCATGCCTTCATACGACGAGGATTCCGGCGAGGATCGCGACGAAGACAATCTGCATTTCATGAGCTCTTTGCACAGATTAAAGAAGAGGTATTTAAGAAATATTTAAGTTGCCTCCCGGATTCACGGCGAGGTTTTCGCTTGTTCATTTCCTGAACTACCGCTCCCAATTTCTTTTTATTCTCAATTGTTATATACATACAGTTAACACTCTGTCTTTATCCCTATTTTCAACTGGCCTCTGTTATTTCCTCACCTAAGACAAGGTTGTCAAGACAATGGCAGGGCCCCAAGGAAATAAGATAACAGACATTCTATACAACAGCTATCAATTCCTAAATTGTACAGTCTGTCCGGATACCGGTGTCACCACTTATACTCTTCAATTGTTTCAGCAACCCTAGTGTGAAACTAAGCTAGGCTTGATTCGGAATGGAATGGAATAATGATTCTCCCGATCAGTGCCGCGTCCTGTACTGACGTGTAATATTACATAAAACATATATCCCAGTAATTTTGGCTTTTGTGCCTTGGCTCGGAACCATCTGGAACAAGAGTAAGTGGCAAGTTGGCCATATTTACAGAATCATCTAGAAACCACTGGATAGGTCTTATGTACAAGGCTAAAAGTTGTATATAAATCTGAGATATCCCAGGCCCTTCCATTACAAAGAGATTCGAAATTGAGAGACTTAAGTGATATTAATCTACGAGTGGAATCCTATTATACAGACCCGCCCGTCCCTATACCCTAACGCAATTGTAGTGTCTTTGACCGCATAAGAAAGAAAAGAACGATATTCAGCAGGGAGCCACAG